TACTTGGATGGACTAGAGCTGCTACACAGAGGCAGGTAATGGCAAGCCACCTCTGCCTTGAAAACCCTGCAGGGTTATCGTAAGTCAGCTGTGACCTGGCTGTACTTTCCACCAGCAGACATGCTTAGGATCGCACTGTTAGATGCCTAAACCAGCAGCGGTAGCCGGGCAGAAGACCACCGTCTGTGAAAACGTCTCACAGAGTCAAGCATCGATAGACCATTCGAGACAAAATAAAAATCTGTCCCGCCCCCCCCCCCCCCATAATCTTTATAAACAGACTCCGAAATACTTTGATCGTTGGAAGAAAAGTCCCGCGACGCATTGCTTATTAAGGTCAGGAGTTTTGACTTGATTTTATGCCAGTGTAATGCTCTGCTTGCCAAAAATATTCTCCTGGCGTTCTGACTCAAGTCGGCATCAGCAAGGCAGGGAAAGCGTCAGGCAGCTGCGTGCCAACAAAGAATTCAAAACGAACCATTATCAGGATATGCCTTGAGCAATCCCCCCCTGAAATGAGTCAAGCCCCACAACCAACATCTGGGCCTGGTGGTTTGTCCTCTCACATTCAACTGAAATCCTGGAGAGAAAAAATGGGTTTTCCTCCCCACTGTAAATTAGCCAGTCTCCAGAGCAGTGACTCTGAGTCACACTTAAGCATTACAGAGAAGGACCTGCATTTATTGGAGCACTTTTCAGATGCTATAAAGAAACAAGGTCAGTACAATTCAGCTAATCACTGCATATTTTAAATGCACTCTCTCGTTTTATATGGAACATTTGGGAATTTATATAGTCCCTAAACGTTCATCAGAATCCTAGCTCCGCAGCGTAGCACCACACTGAGAACAGGCAGCACTGAATACAGGAAACTTCCTTATACTTTTTTGGGGTTGTGTGTGTGTGTGTGTGTGTCTGGAAGTCATGGTTGACTTCTAGAAACCCCTAGTGGGGCTCGAATGTTTCGGAGAGGTGGCCTGATAATTGCCTGCCCCTGGTATTCCTTGGAGGTCTCCCTTCCAAGTTCTTGCCAGGGTTGGCCCTGCTTAGCTTCTGAGTTCTGAGGTGATCGGGCTTGCCTGGGCTATCCAGGTCAAGGCTTAAACTGCCTTATACTGAATCAGACCCTTGGTCTATCAAAGTCAGTATTGTCTACTCAGACCGGCAAGTTCTCAGGCCGAGGTCTTTCACATCTCCTAGTCCTTACTGGAGATGCCAGGGATTGAACCTGGGACCTTCTGCACAATTTCCACTGCGCCACACCAGTTCCAGTCCCACTAAACCGCCACTACACCACAGGGTTGTGCCAAGAAGCCCGGCTGAGTTTCTCCGCAGCTTCCATGAAGACCCAAATCTACATGTGCACAACAATAACGGGGAAGCTAAGCAGGGTCAGCTCTGGTTAGTACTTGGATGGGAGACTGCCAGGGAAGTCCAGGCTCATGACGCAGAGGCAGCCAATGGCAGACCACCTCTGTTCCTACCTTGCCTTGAAAACCTGTTGGGATTCTTTTTGAGTAAGTCAGCAGAGTATTAAGAGACTGAGTCCATGGTGTGTATTAAAATATAAAAGTTTACTATAAACCTAACATGGGAAAAAGGTACACAGGATATAAAATAACAAAGAGCTATTATGCCTACATCCTTACAGCTAAAAGGTAAAACGGGAAGAGCAGAATGGCGTCTCCTTCTCAGTCAGAACAAAGAACAGGAGGAGAAGCCAACATGCTAAATACTTGACACCTTGGTTTCCAATCAGACTAGCAAATTAGCTCCAAAGTTCCCGGGCATTCTCTTGTCTAAACAGATTGGTTACAAACAAACATGTGACTTGACAAACATCATTAACCCTGTAAATACTGAAGTGTTTTGACTTGTAACACCCAACAAAACCCCATAAGGGGTCTTCTTAAGTCACCTGCAATTTGACAGCAGTTTACACACAGAGGCCTGTCCCATGTCAGATTACAGGTGGAGGACCACATTGTGGAATGCACCTCTACGTGAAAAACTCCCTGTGAACAGGAGAGGAACAACAAGAAAAGGAAGAGAGCAGTAGAATCTTTCCCTATTTTGGGAGCTTCCTGCTAGCTTTTTATGTGAAAGAGCATTCAGAACTCGACTCAAGCGTCTGCAGCCCGACAGCCCTGCTGTCCATTCCACCACCTGATTCACCTGCTTGTGTGAACCGCAGGGACAAAGAACCGGTTCGGCCCTCACCCGATGGTATCCCAGAACATACTTCTCTTTTACGCTTTCGCCCATATAGTGGAAGATGGGTAGCCGTGTAAGTCTGTCTGTGGGCAACAATAAGAGTCCAGCAGCACCTTAAAGACTAACGAGATATGTGGTAGGCTAAGAGCTTTCATGGGTCACTGCTCACTTCTTCAGGTACTGGCATCTGAAGAAGGGAGCAGGTGCTCACAACAGTTCATACCACACCACAAATTTTGTTCGTCTTTAAGGTGCTACTGGGCCCATATAGGTGAATGGCTGCCATTCATTCCCAAGGGGCAGGGGCCACAACGCAAACCCTTTGGGACAGTGTTGCAGATAGAATTCACTCACATGATCCCACTGACAGAGAGCCCACAAAGATGAGCACTGCCCCCCACATATCTATGCCTGAAAAATCCTTCTTACCAACTGGTAGGACAACCAAGCTACCCGGGATAGCTTGGCTAACCATGTGGGTCCAGGGTTAAGGGGAAGGTGTACTGTCTCTTTCCGCTATCACGTTTTTTATCCCGGCATTTACTCCAAGGAGCCCAGGGTGGTATATGTGGCTCTCTACTCCCCACTTTACACTCAAAACATTTTATGCTGTGGGATAGAAAGCAGCAGTGGATTGGCCGTTAAGACTGCCAGGAGAACTCCTGGTGAGCCAATGGCTTGGGTTCACGGCAGGGATGGGTGCTAGTCCCTGCTGCTGCCAGGGGGAACTGCAGAAAGGAGGCCCCAGCTTGGACTCACCGCATCCAGTGAGGGGCTAGCCCTGGCCTTGCCACATCGAGACACGGGCCCAGCCCAGGCTGGCCAGGCATGTCCTGCTCAAGGCTAGCTGAGCGTGCTTCTCCCTCACTCCCTCCCTGGCGGGTAGGGAAGGGTGAGCTGGAGGACTTTTCCAGGACTGTCCCCCCCCACCACCCGAATTCCACCCCTGGTGAGGTGGACAGATAAGGACTGGCCCAGGGCAGCTTCACAGCAGAACTGGGATTTGAACCTGATTAACTGGACTGCTCCTGTTGAGGCCTCAGGATAGCTTTTCCGTCTGAACACAAATACAATTTGAGAAAGTTTGGGAGACTCCCCCTTGAAGCTTCTGTCCAAAGAACTCAGACCTTTCTCTGCCTCTAGGGGAGAAGGGAAGGGCACCTTACGGTTCTTCATTTGAGTACAGAAAATCTAATGCCGTTTAGATGCAGTATCTCTCTGCTCAGGGCAGTGGGACTCCACCCCAGTGAACAGCGTGAGGTGAGATCAGTTTATCAGAGGCAAAAGTAGGATAAGAATCTTCATTTCACCCTATCTCCAGTTCCCTGGGGAAGAAAAAGAACCCTGCGTGTCTGCCGCCAGTGCTTTCCGCTTAAAAGGACGTTTTCCTTTGTGAAAACCCAGTTCCAAAGCATAGAAATACTTTTACGCATGACTCATCAAAATCTGCAGCTCCCCAAACCGAGCACGCACGGCACACTATGTATTGTGACCTGCTGGCAGCAACACAATCCACTGCCCTTTTTTTGAAAGGTAGGGGTGATCTCAGGTGCACAGCAAACAGGGGTGTGAGGGGAGAGTTACCGAGAAACCAGCAGGCCACAGCACACCACTGGCGGCCTACTTAAGCGGAGGGGGTCAGCTGGATTCAGAGCAACTACACCTTTGAACAAAACAAGACGGAAGGTTGTCTGAAGAAAAAAGGAAGAGAGGAGAAAAAAACAGGGATCTTGTGAGCGGAATGAAATTATCTGCATGGGCTGCCGCAGACAGGAACCGCAAAGGTCACTCCGACCTGGATGTCAACAACATATGCTACCAAGTGGGGAATTTTCTCAGAACGCAGGAGCCGTATGGCTACAAAGAGGCAGAGCGGTAAAACACTGCGTATAGAACAGCAAACACAGACAACTGTTTCCCAAATGGCAAATTGCCATGGTACACACACAGCCATGGGACAAACTTGGCTGAGGGAGACCATGAAGACAACACAAAATATTTTGAGATATCTTGGTTATTCAGAGGACACAGAGGTGACCATTCTTACTACACATTTCACCAGTGTGTCCGCACCTGAAAGGCAGAAGGTTCCGCCTTACTACTTGATAGGACAACAGAGAGGCTCAAGCTACACCGGGGTGAGAGAGAGTTCACCCTGAGGTAATCTAGTTGTACATACAGGCTCATATCCATCACCTTGCCAAGTGACTATTTTACCTCACGGCAGTTGATGATGTGTGGTAAACGGTCATCTCTCCTTACCCACCATATTGTTTGGCCTGCTGTTCAGAAATCAAGGGAGAAAACAGGGCAGAGCTACAATTCTCATCACTTAGCAAAGCAGAACATTTCAAACTGCCTTTGGTTCTCTAGGAAAAAGCTATTGTCTGTCTACAGCCTAGATGGTTGTTTTCATGTTTTTCCACGTTTGAGGACATATTCCTGTGAGACCACACAAACGGCTGGCCTTGCCATGGGGCAAGCTCTCTCCCACCTCGGGTCCAGCTGAAATTAAACCGGCTTATCCGCTTCACTCTACCAAGTGGTAAGCAGGATTTCACCATCCATTGGGTGCAGATGCGAGGCAAATCATCATCTGCATTCACCCACACAATCAGTTTACTAAGCAGCTGCTTGTATTAACATTAATAAGCAAGCCATCCACATTAACACAGAGATACAGACAGCGTGCCTGAACGCTAAGGCATGTAATAAGCAACCATCCACATTAACACACAGATACAGACAGCGTGCCTGAACGCTAAGCTCAATTAAAGATCCCTTACCTGGAAACGTATGTGGGTGGGGCGACCCTCTTTTAAGGCACTTGGAACAGAGGACATGCACAGTGTAGTACAGGCCTGGCCATTCTTGAAGCAGTACATTCAGTTCTTCCACAAGTGGGGTTATGGCTTGCCAAGCCGTCCATATATTTGGTAGGGACGCATGACTAGCGATGGACAGAGTATCTGGTTGCTGGGCACCTTTGGCAGGCCTGTAACTGATTACTACGGGGACCTTCCCCCGGTAGGCATAGATTTGATATTTCCCATCCGACCTCTGGACCACGTGGCTGTTAATCTGGACGCTGTAGCGGGCGAACAGGCCAGGCGGAAAGATGAAAGGGAAGCTGTACTCGATCTGCAGCTGCTCGGCAACAAAGGACTGTCCGCCCAGGTTGGTCCCATTGATCCATGCCTCCGCGTGGGGAATCTCGTTCTTGACATAGCAGGGGAACTTGTACCAAGCAGTGGCCCCATTCAAGGGTTTGGATTTGGGTTTATTGACACAGTAACAGAGCCCCATCTTTTCCAAGAGCTCCAGGATGAGCTGCAGGGCCTCTCGGCTCTGGACGTGGGGTTTGAGGAGCAGGCGGATAACATGAGTCGGGAGGAGCCCGTGAAGCAAGAACCCTTCCACATAGTGGTGGAGCTGCGTGGCCTTCAGCTCATCCGCGGGCCCGTTCCCGAGCAGTTTCTGGAGCAAGACGGTCACATCCCGCTGGCAGAAGACGTTGAGGATGTCAATGAGCCTGGGCAGGTTATGGAAAACGTACTCGCGCAGAGTCAGGTGCTCCTCGAAGTACAGCAGCTTGCCGCTCTCATGCAAGTACGAAAGGGCGCTCTGGAGGCGGTCCTCGGTCAACCCCGCCTGCAGGCCGAGCCGAGCTGAGTCCCACCAGCTGAGCCACAGCTGCCGAGCCTGCGGCTGGAAGTGCAACTCCTCCAGGACCTGCCAGGACCTGGGCAGAACCCGGTGAAGGTTCGGGAAGATGTCTCTGTGCTCGGCCACTGAGAGGAGCTTCTCCCGCAACCGGCGGACCTGGCAGCCGTCCCAGCAGCTGATTGGCAGGACCGGGGAGAGGATCTGCAGCCGGTGGTTGAGCAGGTACTGGAACTGAGCTTTCTTGCGCCGGAGGTTCTTGTCCGACACGCCGTAGAAGGCAACATGCGGGCTGGAGCACCGCAGGTCAAAATCTTGCCCCAGGGCTTCGTCTACTTGCTGAGCCAAGTTCCGGAGGCCTTCATAGTCCCGTTTCTCCTGCCAGGCAATCTGCCGGTGTATGTCTAAACACTTCTCCTCCACCTCCCGCTCGGCACACAGGTCTGCGTGGGTGCCTACCATGCACACCACTGCGTGCGGCACTTTGGCCCCTAGCCAGTGAAGGAAGTGTCCCACAGAGGGGTAGAAACACTGCGGCACGTAGGTGCTCAGGTTCACCACCAGCACATAGAGGGCTCCGGGAGAAAGGAAGAAGGGCTGGATCACGTCATAGCTGGGGTCGCCCGCCAGCTCATACACGATAAAAGTCAAGCTCCTCTCCGCATCGGCGGTCCAGTCCGTTACCTCTATGCCTCTGCTGCCACACGGTGACCCTACAGCAGCCGGAGCCGGCAGCACAGTGGCCTGTGGCAGGGAATAACACCCTAAGCGCATCTCCGCACTCGCTGTCAGGGGTGGGACCGGCAGGGCGACATCCTGCGGCTCAACAGCAGTTTTGGGGGACAGGCCGAGGAGCATATCCTGCAGCTCACTGGAGCTATATCCTAAATGGGAACATTTCAGGGACGAAGCCTCTGGCTGTTCAACGATAGGGAGATGATTCGGCTGTGGTTTCGGGGACCGAGGCCGGGACAACTCTCTCAGCGGCTGCATGCAGCACCCCTTCAGTTGGGTCTTCCCAAAATCCTTGTGGACTGCAGTTAACGAGGAATCTCTTTGCCCCAGTTCCTCCTCTTCCTCCTCCTCCTCCATGAGGCACTTCCGCAGCAGGGTTTTGCCTGCGTTTTTCAGGCCCATGAGGACCAGCTTAAGCCGGGGTTTGAGGGCAGGCTGGGAATGAGCCAGTTCTTGCTGGTAGGCCGCGATGTAGGGGATGCCCTTCATACAGACCTCGTAAGGGGGCTGGATGAGCGGATTGTCCTTGATCTTCCAGAGGCTGATGCGGCTGAGTTGGCCGAAGCCCTCAGGCAGGATGGCAATCTGGTTGCCTTGCAGCACCAACTCCTCCAGGTGGCAAAGCTGAACGATGGAGTCCGGCAGGTAGCGGATGCGATTGTTGTCCAGCCAGAGGGTGCGGAGGTGGCTGAGCTGGCAAAGGTCTCTGGGCAGCAGGGTCAGCTGGTTGCGGCTCAGGTAGAGCTCTTCCAAGCCGGGCAGGGCCAGCACGGCGGCAGGGAAGTCGGCCAGCAGGTTGGAGGAGAGGTTGAGCATCTTGAGGCGCTGCAGGTTGCCGAAGCCGGCCGGCAGGGCCCGCAGACTGTTCCCGTCCACCATGAGGTTCTCCAGGGCCCCCAGCTGGCACAAGCCCTCGGGCAGGGAGGTCAGGCCGGTGCCGCTGAGCCAGAGGATCTTCAACCGCTGCAAGGAACCAATGCCCTCGGGGACCTCCCGCAGGAGCCGGTTGCCAGAGCAGTCCAGTTCCTCCAAGGCGCCCAGCTCCAGGAGCACCGGCGGGAAGGCGGGCAGCTGGTTGTGGTCCACGTCGAGGGCGCGGAGCTGCTGCAGACCGGCCAGGGCCTGATCCGGCAAGCAGCCGAGGCGGTTGAAGCTCAAGTCCAGCTCCTCCAGCTGCCGCAGCTCGCCCAAGCCTGCAGGGAGCGTCCCGTCGGCGCCCAGTTGGTTGTGGCTGAAGTTGAGCTTGCGGAGCCCGCGGAGGAGCGCCAGCGCCTGGCCGTCGTCGCGGAGGCCACGCAGGCGGTTGTGGCTCAGGTCGAGCTCGGCCAGGTGGGCCAGGTGGCGGAGGGCGGCGGCCGAGGGCAGCCGAGCCAGCCGGTTGCGGCGCACCGAGAGGACGCGCAGGCTGCCGCCCACTGCGGCGCACAGCCCCTCGGGCAGCTCTTCCAGGCCGCGCCCGCTCAGGTTCAGCGTCTCCAGCGGGGCGACCGGAGGAGGCGGCGGCGGCGACTTGGGCTCAGCCTCCCGGCCGCTCTCCTCCTGAGCGCCCAGCTCCAGCTTCCTGGCGTGCAGGGCGGCGTCTCGCCACAACCGGGCCGCCTCTTCTGGACGCTCCGTCTCGGCCATGGCGCCGCCGCCGCCTCCGCCGGCCCTAGGGCGAGCGGGTGTGAGAAGCAGGAGGGGCCCGGGGACCGCCGCCGCCGCCGCCGCCGGGCCCCCTCCCGCAAGCCGGGGCGGGCCGCGCGAACTCAGCGAGGGGCTCGGGCGCCTCGCTCGCCATGGAGGGAGCTGCGGGCGGCGGCTGCTTCTGCCTAGGCGGCGCTGGAGAAAGGCATGGCCGCCGCGGGCAGCAGGTCCCGTCTTCTGCGCCTCCGCCGCCGCCGCGCCCGGCAGAGCATCCTCCCTTCTCCCTCTCTCGCCTTCTCCCTCTCCGCCTCCTCCGCCTGGGCAGTTGCTCCCAGCCAGCGGAGGCGGCGCCGGTGAGCTCCCGGACAGGGGCGGGGTGGAGCGGAGGCGGCAGCGGCCGTGACGCCGCCCCCGCAGCACGTAACCGCGGCGCGTCCGGCCGGATCCGCCTTGGGAGGAAGAAAGGGCGCGCCGAGCGTGGAGCTGCGCCAGGGCCGCTTCGCCTCCTCGGGGCCCGGACAATCGTCTCCGCCTCGGGCGGCTGGACCCCCGACCCCGCCCCTGGTCCGCCGCCCAACAGAGCCGCGTCTCGCTCCATCGTGTCTCCATGTCCCCTGCGCAAGTTGGGAAAGAATGGGAAAAGCCGCATTTCCGAGACTGCGGCGGTAGGGGAAGGTCTGCGGCAGCCCATTCGCAGAGGGAAGGGAGCCTTCTGGGGGCACGATCCAGCCCCTGGGAAGCTCCTTGAGAGCCCGCTGTTTTCAGGAGGGGGGGGGGGAAGATACCTGTATAAGTGAGAGCTGGCTCTTCAAGATCTCGGTCTCTAAGGAAACGATCAGGCACAACACAAGCGCCATTGAAATGGATGGGAGCGGCTCACGAGGTCGTTTCTCTTCCTTGCCCCCTCCCCTTAAATCACAGTGTTCCCCCAAACCCAGGACTCCTCAAACTAGGGTTGCTACTTCAGAAAGGAAAGGGATCAGGGCAGGTAGGGCCGTTTATACCTTGACCTGGGTAGCCCAGGCTAGGCTGTTATCATCAGATCTCAGAAGCTAAACGGGGTCGGGCCACCATGGCTAGTATTTGGATGGGAGACCAGGGTCGCTATGCAGAGGCAGGCAGTGCAGAGGCAGGCAGTGGCAATCCACCTCTGAACATCTGTTGCCTTGAAAACCCTGTGGGGTCACCATGAGTCAGCTGTGACTTAAGGCAAAAACAGTGAGGCGGGCATTTTAGTGGTCAGAGAGACGATGGCACAGTAGATAAGTTATACTGATTTCTTCATTTTTTTGAACCCACCCATTGTACAGTTTGCCCCTCCCCTTTTTATTGTGGCAACAATCCTCCAAGGTAGGCGAACTTATGACAGACAGTGACTGGCCCATGATCACCCTGGGTAGTTTCATGACAACCAGGGATTGAACCCGGGTCTCCCGGGAATGTCTCTTGCTCTTACAGGGTCGCCAGAAGTCAGCTGTGAGTTGACAGCACTTTCCTCCACCACTGCTTCCCTGGTCCTAGTTCAATAATTCAATAATAGTTCAATAATTTTAACCACTACACCACGTATTTTGAGTCTAGTGGCACCTTTAAAGTTTTATTCATGGTATAAGCTTTCATGGGCTTCTTCAGATACAATGAAACGGAAATTACCAGTCCATACATATTAACACAGTTAATTACTCTCAGCATTCCACAATTAAGGATACATCTACCCATCAATCTCCTATTTTAACATATATGTTTCCTTCATTATGTTTCCCCCCCAGAATTAAATCCAAACAAATGGTAACCATATAAACGAAGCTTGTTATTCCTGTTTGGTCCTTGAATCTGTTAAACATTTCATTATGTTGTATGCTAATTTGCTGCTCACCCTCTACCAATGCTCCCTCTAAGCTGTGGAGTCTTGTGAGCAAAAATTCTACTTTGTGAGCTATTGGCATTGAAGTTGTGAGCTTAGTTTGCTCTGGAGCCATCCTTCCTGAGCTGAGACAAAAATGTGTGAGCCGGAGGCTAAAAAACTGTGAGCTAGCTCACACTAACTCAGCTTAGAGGGAACACTGCCCTCTACTTATATGTATGGACTGGTAATTTCCGTTTCATTGTGTGTGACGTGTGTGTGCCCATGAAAGCTGATACCCAGAATAAAACTTTGTTGGTCTTAAACTGCCACTGGACTCGGACTTTGTTCTGCTGCTTCAGACCAACACAGCTACCCACCTGAATCTACACCACATATTGTCCGTCATTCAACTCTAGCTTCAAAAGATGGCCTCCTGCAGGTGTGAACACGCCATAATCTTTCTGCAGGTTAAATACAACATTTAAAAACCCTAACGTGAGCCTAAACTTAGTTTCAGTTGCAACCTTTCCAGCCCTGAAGGATGCTGAGGAAAAATAGCATACCTCTGGGAATATTCAGCATGCCCAGGGCTTTTTTTGTAGAAAAAGCCCAACAGGAACTCATTAGCATAATTGGCCACACCCAACAGCAGAAACATATTAGCCCCCCCCCCACAGCACAGCCTATGAGGCCACACGCACCTGTGTTACCAGAAGTGTGTTCATCCAGTCACACCCACCTTTTGCTTATTCTGTTTACCTTGTTTGTTGTCAAAACCCAGGGGTTTTAGCAGGAACTTCTTTGCATGTTAGGCCACACACCCCTAATGTAGCCAATCCTAATGAGTTCCTGCTGTTGGGTGTGGCCTATTATGTCAATGAGTTCCTGCTGGGCGTGGCCAACTCAGTAGCCAGCCAGAACTTCGTTCCTGTGCGTTCCTGCCCAAAAATAGCCCTGAGCGTGCCTCTCCTTCCCTAGGGCTTAAAGGGGCTTCCAGGGGAAATGTCATAACTTTGAGCTCAGAAGTGGTCACATCTTGGAAAATCCTCACTTTAAATAGCCAGGAGTCAGGAGTTGAAACGGGATTTGGTAGCAACTTCCTCTGATCTGAAGGGGAAGTCCTATCAGAGGATTTGGGGGTAGTTCTGTAACTGAAAGGGTTCCTGCACCAGAACTGTCTCTGTTCCCCTCCTGTCCTCCCTCTGAATTATCACACCTACTGTGTGTGTGTGTTTGTGTGTTAAGTGCCATCAAGTGACCTCCGATTTATGGCAACCCTATGAACTAATGACCTCCAGAAGGTCCTATCGCAGGTCTTGCAAACTGAGGACCATCATGGCTTCCTTTATCAAATCAGTCCATCTCGTGTTGGGCCTTCCTCTTTTCCTGCTGCCTTCCACTTTTCCTAACACTGCTCTCTTTTCCAGTGACTCTTGTCTTCTCATAATGTGACCAAACTATGAAAGCCTCAAGTTTAGTCATTTTAGCTTCAGGGCAGAGTTAAAGCCAAATGCCATGTGAATCATAAAATACTTGAATGGCTCTAGCATATTTAGACATGATGAAACTGCAAACCCTGAAATATATACACACACACACACACACACTTTAAGAACTGATTGCAGTTCAGGTTATGCTGACTAGGAGCAGGTTTAAACTAGATCTGTCTATTTTAAGCCATCAGATAGAGCTGTGAATATTTCAATAAAAAGACGGGACTCCTAGTAACTTTTGGCAGGCTCGGCTTTTATCTCCTTCTCTTGACAAGAGACGCCTGCTGAAATGCTCTCTTCTTGACAACTTTAAAACAAGTATATTTATCCGTGTAATACATAAGGTCCAATAGTTTTTAGACGATGGAAATGCAGTAACAATACGTATTCTTGACAACTTTTAAAGGTACAAGAGTTGCGCCCTCCTTTGCGCTTGGTCATCACAGTGCATCGGTTTAAAATCTGAGCCATAGTCCAGATGCAATGATCATCCACCTAATGATTAATTTGATTTTTGTGCACTTAACATTTTTTTATTCTGCCTCTCCACCCAATTAGAGGCCTCAAGGTAGCCGGCAACTAAAAAGACATCACTAGCCTGGGGGTGGGGGTGGGAATCAGTCTGGAATAAGTAGCTCCAGAACTGGTTGTAATCAATGCTCCCTCTAAGCTGTGGAGTCTTGTGAGCAGGAGGAATTCTACTTTGTGAGCTGGGTGGTGAAAACCAGTGAGGATTGTGAGGCACTCCAAGGGGATCTGTCAAGGATGGGCGAGTGGGCGTCAACATGGCAAATGGGGTTCAATGTGGCCAAGTGCAAGGTGATGCACATTGGAGCCAAAAATCCTAAATATAAATACACATTGATGGGGTCTGAACTGGCAGAGACTGAGCAAGAGAGAGATCTTGGAGTTGTAGTGGATAACTCACTGAAAATGTCGAGACAGTGTGTGACTGCAATAAAGAAGGCCAATGCTATGCTGGGGATTATTAGGAAGGGTATTGAAAACAGATCAGCCAATATAATAATGCCCCTATATAAATCAATGGTGCGACCTCATTTGGAATACTGTGTGCAGTTCTGGGCACCACACCTTAAAAAGGATATTATAGCTTTGGAAAAAGTGCAGAAAAGGGCAACTCGAATGATAAAAGGGTTGGAACACTTTCCCTATGAGGAAAGGTTAAAGCGCTTAGGGCTCTTTAGCTTGGAGAAAAGACGACTGAGGGGTGACATGATCGAGGTTTATAAGATTATGCATGGGAAAGAGCAGGTAGAGAAAGAGGTACTATTCTCCCTTTCTCACAATACAAGAACTCGTGGGCACTCCATGAAACTGCAGAGCGGTCGGGTTAGAACGGATAAAAGGAAGTACTTCTTCACCCAAAAAGTGATTAACACATGGACTTCACTGCCACAGGAAGTGGTGGGTGCTACAAGCATGGACGGCTTCAAAAGGGAATTAGATAAGCATATGGAGCAGAGGTCCATCAGTGGCTATTAGCCACAAGGTATAGCTAGGGGCTCTGGGGCAAGTGATGCTCTGTCTTCTTGGTGCTTGGGGGGGGGGTCAACAGTGGGAGGGCTTCTAATGTCCTGGCCCCACTGCTGGACCTCCTGATGGCACTGGTATTTCTGGCCACTGTGTGACACAGAGTGTTG